GGGGGGAGTGGTTGATTATACAGGTAATTTTCTTACACAGTGGCCGTTAGAGCGTGTTGTACTGTACGACATATACAAAAAAGAAAAAAGAAGTGACATGAATACAAAACCTATATCTATCTATCTACCTATCTATCTATTCGTCTGTCTGTCTGTCTGTCTGTCTGTCTGTCTGTCTGTCTGTCTGTCTGTCTGTCTGTCTGTCTGTCTGTCTGTCTGTCAGTTTGTCTGTCTGCCTATCTACATAGACCTAGCCGTCTATCTTTCTATCTCTCTAGCATTCTCCCAAACAGACAAAAACATAAACAGATAGACAGACGTACAGAAAGACAGATAGGCACACAGACACACATACAGAGACACACACAAGCAGGTTAAGAATCAAAGTGCTTTCTGAAATTTTACGTCAATCACGCAAGATGATACAAGAAGAAATTTTTAAAGAAAGAATAATTTTCAAGAGACACCATATCATTCAAGCGGCGTTTTTTTTTAGCTCACATAGAGCAAGGTAGTTCATGTAACCTTCGGGTTTTCTTGTTCTGCACATAACATAACGAGCTAGTTCAAGTTACCTTTGGGTTTTCTTGTTCTGCACATAACATAACGAGCTAGTTCAAGTTACCTTTGGGTTTTCCCGTTGTGCCCGAGGAGTAGACAGTGTAGCCCAAGTTGTCAAATCCCATCTCCGGTTTTTTCAGAGAAAACTTTTTGGCTTCATTATCCTTCTTCATGGCGTCCTGCCATTCCGAACCCAGCACGATGAGTCTGTCATCTGTCAAAGAGAGTGGGCATTTAGAAATGATTCTTCTTTAACTCTTTAAAAACGTGGCGAGCTCATAAATCGCTACCCTGGAATTACGAAGTTCTATTTGCTCAGTACCTAGGTTTGAGGAAATTGACTATACATTGTTGAGTTTCACAACATGTCAGGCTTATTCCAAATGCAATTCCTTGAATACCTTGACAACGACCCAGAATAATTATACGATTTTTATAGAGCAGACAGAAAATTTGGTTTCTGGCCTCGTGGTCTCAGTAACTCAAAACGGACAAAAAATCGGATAGAACTCTGTAATTCTAAAGTAGCGAAGCATTATTTCCGATTAGCAGAACACAAACAGCAATGTAGTGACACACTGTGAACCTACAATGTATACACATCATAAACGGTAATTTGCATGATGTTCATATTTGTATTTCATACTATAAATATTTTGTATAAATTGGTGCAGGCAGTCAAACGATATATGCCCTCCCCCCCCCCCCCCCCCCCCAAAATCCCCAAAAACCCAAAAGAGAAAAGCAAACACATAAAGAAAAAATGATTTATTGAGTTGGACTCAAAACTTGTGTTTTTCTTTTCTTTTTCCTCCTCCTTATACCCCGCCTCCTACTCCTTCTCTTTCGAAAAATAAACACAACACCAACTCTCTTTCGGTGTGTTCGATATGTTAACACAACTGCGAGACAGAACCCAAAACTATGTCATCATGGCTTGAAGGGCTTTTAAAAAAAGAGGGAAAAAATACAGACGTTCCGGAAGCAACATAAAAAAGGGTCTAAACACCCCCACAATTTCCGTTACCCGTAACGCACCCGTAAACACAACAGAGGAACTCTCCGTAAATGAAAACCTAAAGTACTCAGCTAAAAGAGCAATTATCCCAGTAATAGTACAGACACTTTTAGCCACGACCAAACGAAACCTCTTAGTGTTGGGTGTGGAAGGGGAGGGAAGGGGCTTTGACGTATTATTATGCAGAAAAAGAAGAAGAGCAGAAGGAGCGCTGAGAGAATCAATGGTATTACTATTATAGCTACGTTCCGCCATATTGCCGGAGGGCGGTCACAAGAAGAACGTTGGTGTTTAGCCTAGAAATTAATATCAAGTCAATGCAGGCGGCGTTTTGAAATTGTAAATATCACATACATGTCCACCCCGTCATCCATCGTTATCGTATGTCAAAATACGAGGATTTCATGAGAAGCAAAAACAAAAACTAACACGAAACCAAAATAGTAATATTTTAGAAAACTCAAAACCTTTTTTTTCCATTCTTTTATTAATGAAGGTATTTTTAAGCCTCTTTTGACACAATTTAGATCATTTAGAAAATGGGCTTCCATCTCTGCCTGTCAGGGCTTACCCGGGCTAACAGGGATTCACCATCCTAGCAGAAAGACGGAGATGTTGGATAAAAAAAATTCCCCACTCGGGAAGGGCCTAATGTTTTCGGAGGTTTTTTGGGTGGGGTTTATTTTTTCCGAAGTTTTGACGAACTACAATGCATATTACTGTGCCAAGATTCAATATAACTATCCCTCTGATCTCTCCCCAATCCCCCTTTTTATGTTTGTTCTTCTCTTGTAACACCTCTAATCTTCGGCAGTTAAATTATCTGTTTTTCAAGAGCCGCAAAACGTTTACCCATACAAACAAGATTCAATAAGAGCAACCGCAAAGTATAGCATCTAGTCATAAACCTTCTTTAGATTCGCATTTGCTCGCAGAAAAACCTTCTCTCCCACTAACGAGGAAAGATCACGCATAATTATAGCTCAATGCCAGAGGGGAACGGCCGATAAATCTGTCTCCAGGCTGGACGACAAAGGAAATAACAAGAGCTGGAAACAGAGGCCAAAATTGCTGTTTACGACACAGCGTCCGCTCTACGCAATCAGCGATTGTTCCGAAAAAGGTGCGGTCGCCATGAACTTTGAAGGATAAACTGCTGCACAGTAAGAAGAGCCAAAGAAGTAAACAACGATAAAGTACATTAAAAAAACATGGAGTAATTGTAATATTGTTAAGTAGATAAATATGTATAATTTTATTTTTAAGTGTCAACAAAGATTAATAATGAAACACTTTGAATGGGTGGCGTCGGTGACTTTGTGGTTAGGCTAACAGACCCGTAATCGTCAGCTCGGTCCGATGTTGTGTCCTTGGGAAAGGCACTTTACACGAATGTCCTATTTAGCTCCGTCGTTTAAGATGATGGACGTTAAATTTTAAACCCTTAGGTCCCGACTCTTAAAAAACCCTATAGTGTTGATAGGGGCGTTAACCTATACCGTTTTACCATTTTTACGCTTTAAATTTTAAAAAATATTTGTTCCCTGGAGTGACTTTCTGTGCAGGATACAAGGCCTTAACCTATCAACGAAGAAAGGCCCAGCTTGTGGGACATTAAGGACGCAATAGAATGAAATAGAAATACAAACGTATGCCTTCTCACAAACAGATAAAGGACTTGTTGAACAAACCTCTCATAATAAATTCAATATGATGTTTTTCATGGGCCCTTTTGAGCCTAATCAAAAGGTGGTTCAAAGGAACAACTTACCTGTAAATTATCGGGCGTGATTGGCGGGTGATCTGGTGTGGTTTTCTAGTCTTTTTTCTTTACTATCAAACATCTATCGTCCTTATCAGCTCTCCTCTTTTTCTTTGTATGTTACTCTCTAGTCGCCCTCAAATAAGCGACACGTATAATATGAGCTTACTGTGTAACAAGTGTTTAAAACTTTTAATAACTAAAACTGTAAAGTATCAGTTAACATTTTAACTCTTAATATACGGAAGGTTGTTTAAAAATTGAACACAGCCAATTCTGTCATCCAATTTTTCATCATCATAAACATCCTTATAACTCCACTGCTATTTAACATGTTTGAATAAAATAAACAATACATTGAGAAAAAATAAATGATCATTGTAATTATATAGAACTTTATTATAAACCACATAGATTTGCTGGGGTTTCCTTAGACTTTTGATATGACTGTAAACAACAGAGCGATACTCCGCGCTTGCGATACTGGCTTGCCTGTACTAATTAGAGATTAAAAACTAATAATAATAACAATTGTATCAAGACGCGGTGGTTTCAGGCGCTCGTCAAGCTTTGAACATTATGCAGTTATTAGAATAACCTTAAAGCTTGTTCTTATGTCTTTCTTTCAAAGACAAAAATACATACCTATCTTAAACAGAAGTCGAAATATTTGTTGTCGAAGGAGAAGGTGTCGTCTGGTTTCAGAAGTGAAATAAACGAGAAAAAAGGCGATAAAATTTGATGATTTCCATCGTAGATTGAAAATCCTTGTAAACTGAAAATGTACAATTTTCGTGCCTTTGATCAGAACTTTTCTGTAAAATCCACAAAAAAATGTGTTGGGCAACAAAAAAAAAACATTCGAAAAAAAATTCAAACTGAAATAAAAATGCCGGTATCTTCCATTTCATTATTTTGACGCTCGCCTGATTTCACCATGACGCCGCGACTATAAATATCTTACCAGGAAATGCGGACAGCTTGGGGGCAAGTTCACAGGAAGTGACGATAGCTGTGGGCTCCGCGTCATTGATGACGGACTCCAGCATGTGGGACGGGTAGGAGGTGTCTATGGGTATATACCCACCACCTGTGGACAGTTGGAGAGGATAAGAGATTGGCGTGGCGTGGCGTGGCGTGGCGTGGCGTGGCGTGGCGTGGCGTGGCGTGGCGTGGTGTGGCGTGGCGTGGCATGGCGTGGTGTGGCGTGGCGTGGCGTGGTATGGTATGGTATGGTATGGTATGGTATGGTATGGTATGGTATGGTATGGTATGGTATGGTATGGTATGGTATGGTATGGTATGGTATGGTATGGTATGGTATGGTATGGCATATCATAGTACTGTACGGTGAGATTGGTATTAAAGATGGTGAAATACAATATGAGTAACTTGGGCATTTGTCCACATTCTAGTGTAATTCCAATTCAACGGAAACAAAATAAATTGAGTTTGTGTTCACGTTTTTCGTACACACAAATCACTCAGTGTTTTGGGGAATTTTTCAGGCCGGAGTTCCATCGCCCCATCACAAAAAATATTGCTAAAACACATCAATGTTGCGAATTTTGTGGTTTGCAAAATTAACTGAATTCAAAGAACCTTTAAAGTCCAAAATTTGGTAGTACTCAAACATAAAATATCAAAGAATTCGTCACCCCCCTCCCTGATGTCTTCCAATGAATTAATAAAAAAGCAACCAAACCTACTCAAAGTTTTCAATGATTAGTTCCGAAATATCCAGAAGTACGTCTATATTTGAATCTCGTTGGCATGGGATCAAATAATAAAGAAAGATGAAATAAATAGACTGAAGACCCGGCACTTATAGTAAATACAAAAGATCAGACAGACAGAATAACTTATTATTTTTATTAAACGTACCTGTCGGTACTTATTTGACCTTATTGTGTTGCAAGTGCCGTAAAACTCTTATTAAAACTAAACTAAAACCTACCTGCTTTGAGTGTGGCGATGTAAGCTACGACAAAACTGACACTTTTTCCCAGGTAGATCCCACAAGACTTCTCGGGACCAACTCCCCTCCCCTGGAGGGCGGCAGCCAGTGTGTCTGTCCATGTGTCCAGTTCAGAAAACGTCACCGTCTTGTTTTCTGCCAAAACAGAAAAAAAATTATAAGATAAAAACTGCACAAATAAAGCAATTCAAATGTGTTTCGAAGTCCTTAATATTCGTCGGCTTATAATCTATACTTCCAACTTTCTGTAGTAAGCCTTGCTGTATTTTGTTCTATAATAACC